AATTTGGAAACTGCTTCAATACTACGGAGTACCGCAAACCTTTATCCGCCTCATTCAACAACTATATGAAGATGCCACATGCCAAGTAATCCACAATGGGAAGCTCAGTGATGCCTTTGAAGTGAAGACAGGAGTGAAACAAGGTTGCCTACTATCCCCCATGATATTCCTTATTGTGGTGGACTGGATCATGCAGCAAACAGTAGGCAGCGAGAAGAGGGGGATACACTGGACGACGGAAAAGAACCTAGAAGACTTGGATTTCGCCGATGACTTATGCCTAATGTCACATAAACTTGAAGATCTGCAGGCAAAAACTAACAAGTTGATAGAAGAGGCAGCGAAGACGGGACTTCAGGTGAATATAGAGAAGACAGAAGTGATGAAGATACCGCACCACCACCATCAACAACAACAACAAACTCCAATCACCGTCAACGGGAGAAACTTGAAGGAAGTAACCTCCTTCACTTATCTAGGAAGCACTGTTTCAACTACAGGCGGGACGGACGAGGACGTCAAAGTCAGAATCGGAAAAGCAAGACAGGCGTTCATTAGCCTGAAACCAGTGTGGAGATCTTCTGCACTCAGCATGCGGAACAAGATACGGATTTTCAACACCAACGTCAAGTCAGTGCTCTTGTATGGCTTGGCGCGTCACGAAAGGCATTTCCAATAAACTACAGACATTCATCAACAACTGCTTACGCTCGCTGCTGAAGATCAGATGGCCAGAAGGAATAAGCAACAAGGAACTCTGGGAACGAACCAACCAAGAACCTATCACGCAACAAATATGCAGGAAGAAGTGGAGATGGATTGGCCATGCACTGAGAAGGCCGACTGAGGACATCACGCGTCAGGCCCTCGAGTGGAATCCCCATGGGAAGCGACGAGTTGGACGTCCGAGGGTGACATGGAGGAGGTCGTGCGAGCAGGAAATGAGAGGTTGTGGGCTGTCGTGGGACCAGGTTCAAAAGATCTCAGAGAACAGAGGTCACTGGAGGCGTGCTACTGAAGCCCTATGTTCCACTAGGAACCCAAGGGACTAATAAATAATAATAATAAATAAATTAAGGGCCACACTAACCTAACTAATGAGATAACCAATTACTTTTCTTCATTCTGCGGAAATTTACCTTCCTAGCCAAAATACTACAATCTGATTGGTTATTTCAACAGTTGTTAGAGTGGATTTTAATGTCACTCCTAAAATAATCGTGGATACAAGAATTAGGACAACTTTAACGAGCATCCTAGTAACTGTTGAGATAGCCAACTAGCCTTCTTTATTTGATTTAAAATGTAACATCGTAGCGATTATATAGTAACCTGACTGGTTTATTTCGGTATTTGCAAGGGTGGTCTTAAGAGTCACCATCAAGAAATAGGTCTTCAAAAGTTACAGTTTTTAAATAGACAACTCCAGTCTATTAATTATTTCATTCAAGATTATATGGCTTTAAATGTCGTCATAGAAGTTGCATCTGACTAATAGTAAAGCTTTTTTTACAATCTTTTTGCCTAGTAAACACGGGTAGTGGCTAGTAGTGGAATCCAGGATGCGCATTTCGTCCTATTTGGGACTCGTCAGCTGGATGTACCTGCCTCTCAGTGGGTGATGTTGTTCCCACCGGGACTCGGGAGCGATCGCTTCAAACGTCAGCGCGTTATCCACTACGCCACCGAGACACGATATCTACTTCTCGTGCCACGGGTATAGGTTTAGTGTTATTACTTGTATTACACCGTCGTTGATTGGACCGAATTGATCAGTCTCTGTTGGCATATGGGCTCCTATGCGTAGGACTCTATATTGCCTATCTTTTTAACTATGTATAGTAATGATGGGCAGTGGCTAGCTGTGGAATCCAGGATGCGCATAGAGATAGATGAGTGATTAAAGCGCCTGAAAATTTCCAGTGTATCAAGTATGTTGTCTCATATGATAAAGATGTCATCAACATATCTCTTATAAAACGTCACTTAGTCTCTCATTGGCTTGACACTACCGTTATCAATGCGAACTATAAAGAAAACAGCTGGTAATGGACCGAAAAGAAATTCCATGGTTATCCTTCTCTCTTAATCGATAAATATATTTGTTAAAGCTAAATTGTACATTTAAGGTATTCGTCAAGATAAGTTCTTTTAAATAAGCAGAGTAGGTATCGCAATACAGTTTCCATGAGTGATTCATTAGGAAATAAAGAGTTAATATTTAATTATACTAGTATCAGACTGGAAATATTAAAACTACTTACTACATCAACAAATTCAAATATATCCTCCATAAAATGCCTTCATACTTGTCATCAAATTGGTTTGATAATTTATGAGATCCATTGAGCTATTGTGTGATAGGGAGAACGTGATATTATCGAAAATAGGATGTAGATGTATTGCAGGCTAATTTAGATTACTTAACTATATAGTCGAGGAATAATAGATCCAGGAACTTACAATTTTTCAAACCGATCAACTGTAATTATGAAATTGCCTCTCATTCGTTTTTGAATCTTTGTATATCATTCTTCAACAGTTTCAGTTTTATTCTTTTCCCCTTTAAATTTCGAAAATTTGGCGTCATACAATAGTATGTCCTTCATTTGACCAGTATAGTTCTTTTGGTCTAGTAGTAGCCAACCTGCTCCCTTATCATTGCACGTGATCAAAATGTTTTCCTTTTTCAGCAGCTGTTTTAAATACTTCTTGGTGATGTGAGGCTGGTGTTTAGGTTTTATTTTCATGTTACCAGACGGAATCACCTAAAATATTTTAATTTTGATTATTTAACTGAAGAAGCTTGTACCAAACTTCTTTGCGAAACGCTGGAACTATTTCATTTTAAACACAGTGACTCAGTGGTAACGTGCTAGTTGTGTAACCTGAAGGTCTTGTGTTCAGTCTTTGAAGGGCGAGGTCATGGATACGCACTGCTTAGGAGTCCCGTACTAGGAAGAAACAGCTATCCAGTGTGCTCAAGTTTCCAATGTTTCTCCAAGAGATATCAGTCCATGATGAATTACAACCTAAAATCGACTGATAAACCTCCATGAACCTCCAGATAAAACTTTACCAATTAGTTCATAGGTAAAAATATCTTCGTATAAAGTGATTCTCCATAGATCATTGAAATTGAAAATTATTATTATTTATTCTTTTTCCCTTGAGTTCCTGGTGGAATATAGGGCTTCAGTAGCTTGTCTCCAGTGCACTGTGTTCTCTGCACTCTTCTCAACCTGGCTCAACGACTGTCCAGAAGCTTTTATTTCTTCCTCACACGATCTACTTTATGTCATCCTCGGACGCCCAACTCATCGTTTCACATCTGAGTTCCACTCGACGGTCTGGCGTGGCACGTGACGTCCCCACTCGGTTTTATCAGTGTATGTGTCCAATTAATGGCTGAAAATTTTGCTATACAACATAGAAATATCTTAAAATAAACTATGTACTGTGACCTAATTAAAGTTTATATTCATGATATTTATTTGGCATAATACCATATTCAACTAAAAGTCTTGTCAAATCACATCGTTCTACTTCAGCGTTCCCTTTTTTCAAATAATCTCAACCCTTTTTAAACAAAGTTTATTTATGCAAATGGAGGCGTTAAGCAATTTAATGAATCAGTAAAAGGAAATTGAGCTTGATTTGAGCTTGTTTGATCGGGATCAGTTGTAGGCTTCTAGATGTGGACCCAGTTCTATTTAGCACCCTAATTGTCCTACTTCTTAATTTCCTGTCGCTGATTGAACTGAACTGACCGACCACTAGTGGCATATGTGTTTCTGTGCGGTCACAGGTGTAAGTCTCAGTGGGAAAAGCACCATTCACTTGGAGGCATGTACATCCAACTGAAGAGTCCCAAGTACAACGAAATATGCCTCTTGAACTTCACTTCTAGCCAATATCGATCATCAACTACTCGTAACTGGTCAGTTAGCTGTAAATGCATTCAACTGAGCAATGGTGTTTCCATGAAAATGAAACCTTGCACTTGATGAGCAGAATGCAGTAAAGTAAACAAGAGGAAAGTACAAAGTTAGAACAACTTTAAGTTAAATTGATTCAGGTCAACAAATATTTATCTGATTTACACTACTAACACTCTTCAAAGTTGTTATTCATTGTAGGCTGACATAAGTTGGAGGAACAGAGGAAACCTGGGAGTACTGGACAGCTGTTTCGTCCTAGTACGGGACTCCTCAGCAGTGCGCACCCATAACCCCGCCCTCAGAGATCGAACCCGCAACCTTCAGGTTCCATGACCAGCACGTTACCATTGAGCCACTGGGTCAGAATCCAACAGTCCATATTTCCAACTTCTGTTAGCTCACGATACAGCGCAACCACCATCCAATTTCATCGTTGAGTAACTGTCCTCACGACCATCAGGCTTCGACTCCACCGGTCACGACTTGTCATTAGAACTTCGGGAATACTTCTCAAAGCTAGTCACCAATGAGCACCAGTTCAACTGAATTTTGACCCAGTGGCTGAATGGTAACATGCTGGCCATGGAACCTGCTGGTCGCAGGTTCGATCCCTGCTGGTGTGGAGTCGTGGGTGCGCACTGCTGAGGAGTCCCATACTAGGACGAAATAACTGTCCAGTGCCCCCAGGTTTCCTTTTTTCCTCCAACTGATGTAAGTCTATGATGAATAACAACTTGAAATATTTCCGAATCCCCACGACTTCCTAAAAATTCTTCAAAGTAGTACCAGTATTAAATTTAGCTCCATTAGTGTCTGTGAAAGTGACTGGAGGCATTCAATATCATTGTAATATAAAACAGTAAGATGAAAATCACAATAAACAATCACCTAGAGATTATGTCAACCTACTCAAGCAATATGTGCCTTTGATCATTTTCGTCACAAGCAAAAAAAGATTTGGTTTTGCAATGAATTAATCTCGATCAACTTAACTTCATCAAACAAGTTTTATTGTGAATACAAGCATTTTTCACGGTATTTCCTTGTATTTCCGTCCAGGCATACAACACACTATGGAGCGAATTCCTGGTGTAAGGAAGACTGATAAAGATTATTCACCACCTAGAATTCTGTTAGATAATCTTCCTCCAGAATCTTCACAATCAATACAAAAGGTGGCCATTGCAAGAGATAATCAGAAGAATTCATCACCTATCTTGGCTGATAAAGAATATCAATCCAGTTCACCAACTGATAAAGGGTCAAAAATAAATATTCCATTGACAAATCGTCAACAGATTCCCAGTAAACGTCTTCTCTCTGCAGGTAAATTGAATTCTCTTCTTCCACATGAATTCGAAAAACACAAACCTAATCAGTAGTGTATTTACCTATTGAACAGAAAGGTAATGATTATGTGTAAACTTTCAGTACATGGAAAAATGGTTCGCAAGATTAGCTGAAAAGATCATTCAAAAAATAATGTTGGTAAATGCAGTCACGGGATTGTTTAGGGAATTTATAAATATCAACTGGTTATAAAATAATAATATGCATTATGTAAATTAGAACAAGACATATAAACAAACAATATTGTTTCAAAGCAGATCCTCTTCAGGCTTTACTCTAATACAAATATCTTAATATACATAAAATTAAACCATTCGTGTAGATTTGTTAATTGATGTGGTAAATGTTTTAAAGTAACAATTGTGATAATAATAATGATGATAAAAGTGATAATGTTGACTAAAACACATGCAATATAGATGATAATAATGATGATAAGAACCAAGAAAGAAAATGTAGATCCTCCGATCATCAAAGTGGGTCAAAAGCATGGGTAAATAAAAGTTACTTAATACTGAAGGATGGGGTAAGTGGATAAACAAAGTTCAAACAGATATAGAAAGTACATGAAACGGATAGGAAAAAAATGGATGATCAAGTTATTAACTATGTATTTCCTGTCCTAGGGAGAGATAAAGGATTTAAGAATCTCTTCTGGATACAAAGACTAGGATTATTAGCTAGAATTTCCTGCAGTTTCTGTTATATGCAAAAGACGAGTTTGAATGCCTTTCGAAAGATAAGATGATATGCGGTGAATAACCATGAAAGTACTGTTCTTATCTACCAAGTGACCACTATCAACGAGATGAGATAAAACCGAACCTCTAATGGACTTTATCTGTCCTTTTCCCAACCGTGAAGGTAGATGCTCAGTAACACGTTCGTTAAGTTGTCTAGTAGTACACCCTATATAGCTTTCTCCGCAGCAGCTAAACTTGTAAATATACATAAAAATAGCAAAACGAGATACCTTATCTTTTATCTGAGCAGCAACAATCGGTCTGCTGGAAAATCATAGAGTTGTGAGGCATAGAAGGTCCTCTTAATGGTTGTAAGCAGTCTCTGATATAAAATCAGCTACATCCCCCATTAAATTCCAATTTCATAAGCAGTAGTTTCTTTTGTGTGACAGTAATTCCAAGTTTGTTGCCCCTGGCTTTGTCCATGTGTCTTTCTATAGAACTGTTAGGGTTCCCCCTTTTAATCAATGAATTACGAATATATTCTAACTCTCTGTACTAGATCATCTGAATATATTCTTATCTCTCTGTTAATTAGGCTTTAACCAGGTTTGTTTTTGCATCAGACTGTTACATGACTGAGAAAATGTATAGACTGACGTATAAATTTAGTCTTCCTGTAAACACATATGTTGAGTGAGCCATCTTCTGTCTGCTTGGCAAGACATCCAAGTAGTGTAGTTTACTCGCATTTTCTTCCTCGCAAGTGAATATGAGTGAAGAGTGTACCTGATTAGGTTTTCTTAACACTTCGTTTGTATCCGCATCCTGATCCAGGATAATGAATGTATCGTCAATATAACGGTGATACATGGTCATCTCATTAATGACATCTTTCAATGCTCCGTTCTCCAATTTGACAAGAAAAATATCAGCTAAAATAGGGCCGAGTGGTGAACCCATAGGTGTCCCATCAATCTGTCTATAATGAGAGCTATTGAAGACGAAATGCATATTCACATTACATTTAAGAAGTAGCCCCTTGGGGATGTTTACTGGAATCTTGATATTGATTTGCCTTTCCGATATTTGTTGAGATACAAACTCTACCGTCTCCAATAATTGCACATTAGTGAATCGTGATTGCATATCGAGCGACATCATATGTTTCCCCTTTAAATTCATATTATCTAGCTTAGAAATAAATTCAAAGATGTCTTTTACACTGTGGTTAACTAATTCTTTGTGTAAGGGATCTAAAATCCTTACTAATCACTATCTAACGCGTGGTATGGGAAGTTAGACATGTCTGAAACTGGAAGAAGAGGGAGTCCAGGTTTGCGTTCTTTAAGTAGACCAAATAAGTGTGGTGTGTTACTCCCTGTAGGTCTAAATGAGTCATATGTGAACTCAGAAATACACTTTTGATTGGAAGGATACAGAAACTTACAACACACCTTATCATAGTTTTGCGAGAGAATTCCCTGAATCTGAACTAAGTGTAATCGATAGACCAGTGAACCGTAGAATTGTAAAATCATGCCGTCTCTGAAATAAACAATAAGAATAAGTTCATAAACTACCTTAAAAGAATCACAGAGAGAGTCCTCTTTTCATGTCGGTGCTTAGTTGGAGTCCCTATTATGATTTATAATTACGGGCTCTTAAACTGTAAGTTTCTCTTTTTTGATTTTCCCGACTTCTGATTATCCGTAAACACTAAAAAGTCATGTAACTTGACAATCAGCACAAAACGATCATACGAGACTAGTTTCTTCTCATTGTACCCAAACAAATCCATCCCTAAAGAATAAAACCTAAACTATTGCTAGCTTGATAAGCAGCACAAGAGAATACAGTGAGTAACTCAAAGATAGCAAGATTTTTGGATCCTGTCACACAAGCTCAATGTAGAATCACCTTGACAACAAAACAATCATTCTTGCATCAGCTAGAAATCAATGAAAGTGAACAAATTATCAACGCCTATCGATTCAACTCTATAATTATACAAATTTGTTTCCATTGTCAGAGTTAGCAGAAATGCTTATAAAACGACCGTTTTTTTCTAAAAATATCTGAGTTACAATAGAACAGTAGTAACCCTTATATTCTAATGGCTGTTGTGACAATTACTTATGCGGTGGCTGCAAAAGTCCCCCTAAAAACGACTGAAATAACCAAATAGATTTCGCTTCCTATAAGAATCTGACTTACCAACTAAAATAAACTAACCTAATTGGCTATTTCAGTCATTCAAAGGTTGGTCTTTACAGTCATCCTTATTTAAGTATTTGATGATTGATTATTACTTGACTGTCTACTTTTGCCCGAAGTCATTGTTATTTATAAACCAACAGAGTGATGAATTTGTTTTACACAGTCTAATTCGTTGATATTTCGAAGTTACCCGACTCTTTGTGCTTCGAATATCACGTATGCACGACAGGATCATGGCAACAAATCCTTTTCTAAGATGATCGTGAGGCTAGGAGTTTTAATGAATGTTAGGTGGGATTCTACAGGCAACTTTAGCAAATACTAAAATAAAGAATAAGTTTCTTTATTCCATGAAGAAACTAACTGTCTAGCCGAAATATGGAAACCGAATTGGTTATACTAGAGGTTGCCAAGGTGATCTTTGGAATCATTAAAGCTTTGAAGTGCAACCGAAACGAACAAGCATAAACATGAGTGTATGTATTAAAAGTAAAACTATATTTTAGTGAAATGTTCTGGCCCATTTAGTTATTTGTCCAAATACCTCAGCCTTATTGAGAATTCTTCGTAATGCTTCTGAGGTTCAGAGGCTTTAAGTTCTCTCGCAACCCTGTCACCATTATTACTATTAGTAGCAGAATTATTATTAATAACACCTGTATTGCCACCACCACCACCACCACCACCACCACCACCACGACTGCTCAGAAGCTTTCATTTCTTCCTCACATGATCTCCTCCATGTCACCCTACCCCCACCCCCCTCAAACGCTCAACTCGTCGTTTCCCCTTCGGATTCCACTCGAAGACCTGGTCTGGCGTGTGATGTCTCCAAATGGTTTTATCAGTGCATGCACAATCCATATCCACTCTCTCCTTCTGCATATTTGTTCGGTGATGGGTTCTCGGTTGGTTCGTTACCAGCCAGCTAACCAGAGTTCCATGTTGCCTATTCCTTCTGACCATCTGATCGATGATAAGTATTGAGTGAGGGTAGGTGGTAGCTTTGGATGAAAGTCTGTAGTTGGTTGGAAGTGCTTTCGTGACACGCAAACTTTGTGAACCATATAGAAGCACGGACTTACTTGACTGAATTAGTGTTGAAAATCCGAATGTTGTTCACACTTTATGCTGAGTGTAATAGATCTCCATACTGATCTCAGATTAGTGAAAGCCAGTCTTGCTGTTTTTCTGATCCTGGATTTGACATCCTCCTCATGTATGCCTTTGTTGCCTGTAACTGAAACGATGGTGCCTTGCCTGGGTAGGTGGGTAGGTGAAAGAGACTACTTCCTTTATGTTTCTCTCATGGTGATGATTGGTGCTTGTTGTTGATGCTGTTGTTGGTTGGGTATCTTCATCACCTCTGTCTTCACTACGTTCACTTGAGTGAAGTCCCGTCTTCGCTACCCAGCCTCTTCTGTGAACTTGTTGGTTTTCGCCTGTAGATCCTCAAGATTGTGCGGTGTTAGACACAAATCATCAGTGAAATCCAAATTACCTAGGGTATTTTCATCGGTCCATCCAGCGTATATCCATCTTCTCACTCTTCATAGTTGTTTGTTTCATGATCCAGTCTGGCAGACCACAATCAGGAAGATCATTGATGATAGTAGGCGGTAACACAGTCTTACTCCTGTCTTCACTTCACTTCACTTCAAAGCCGTCACTGAGCTTTCCATTATGAATCACTTGGCATGTGGCGTCTTCATATTACTATTGAGTGACGTTGATAACGATTTGTGGTACTCCATAGTGTTGAAGCGTTTTCCAAATTACTTCTTGGTCGACGCTGTCGGAGTCATTTTCAAAATCGTTGAAGTTGAGGTTGAGTTGACTGCCATACTGTACCCTGTTCTATAATGATCCGCAGGGTGGCGTTGCAATTTAATCCGCACATGATTTGTTCTTCCTGAAGCCAGCCAGCCTGTTCCGGTCGTAACTTTGAATCCAGTACATCTTTTAGTCTTTCCAGTATGATGTTGCTTAATACTGTGCTTGGTGTTACCAGGATCATGATTCCCCGCCAGTTCCTGCAAAGACTTAGGTCTCCCTCCTTTGGAAATTTGACAAGGTAGTCCTTCTTCCAATCAATATGCAGGTACCTTTCCTTCCTTCTTTCTTTGCAAACCTTCTGCAATAATGGTGTGAGTATAACCGCTGTTGTCCCTGCCTCTGATTTCAGCACTTTAAATTCCGCCCAGTGACCAAGTCAAATGGTATCTGACAGCCCAGATGAGCAATTTATCTCAGCTTTAATTCCTTTGTTCGTAATGCTCAAATGATTCAGTACTAATAAATGAAGTCATCTTTATTTGGTAGAGCTTTATGACTGCAGGCTGTGAATTCTATTTAAGTATATTTTATACTAGAACTATCTATTTCAGTTTATCCTTAATCTAGCCATTATTTTAGATTATTCAAAAATTGCTGATGCCAATGCTTAGGTGACTTACACAATTTGATGTACTAATATTAGAAGGCAGTTTATTACCTTAGTATTGTTTAACTGCAATACAATTTTAGTCATAATGTTACATTCATCTTGGTGACTAGCATTTTGTCTTATTTTGGACTCATCGGCTGGATGTACGTGCACCCAAGTGAGTGATGTTGTTCCTACTGAGACTCGAACCTAGTACCCATCACTCCAAACCTCAAAACGTTATCGTCCAGGTCACTGGGTATGATAGCCATCTCTTGTGCAAGGAGTATCAGTTGTTACTGCTTGATACCTGTTATTCTCCACTGCTATACAAGGCGGACCTCTGTTGACAGATGGGTTCCAATGAGCATCCTTTGGCACTACCGGATGTTCAAGATGCTGTGGCAACAACGTCATTCACTGGGGTACAGGTACATCCAGCTGACGAGTGCCGAATAGAAAGAAACTTGCATGTTGAATTGCACTGCTAGTCATCATGATGCATAGAACATCATGAACATCTGACAGTACCGAGAGATCCGCTTTGGAGCCCATCAGCCAATAAAGGTCGAATAATTCGACTCGGCATAGCAATGGGAAATTACAACTATCAAACAATAATTCTGGTAATTTCTACAAAATATTTGCATGAATTACCAAGATCTAGAAATCAGTGTGAGTGGTTTCGGAACACTCATTTTGATCTGTAGTGCAAATTTCCAATTCCTGACACTTCTAAGCCAAAGATCACACTTAGATGCATGGTTTTTAATGCAAACTATGTTAAGCAGTTGAAAAACTATTCAGTTATTAGAAATGTCAAAATGGACCGTGGAATTGTAAGTCATTTACAGATTGATCATCCTGTCAATGATTTAGGTTAGGAAAACTGCATGAATTTACTTAAGACCATCTCTCAAAACATATTCAACATTTAAGACAAAAAAGGGAGATATTTCTACCTCTAGAGTCTTGTGAACGAAATTTAAATATTATCCGCTGTACTTAATACACCTGAACTTCATATGATATCTTGACTAATAGCTTATTGTGATAATAATTATATTGAGCAGTGAAGGTGAAAGTATATTCAGAGTGATTTGAACCACCTACGTAAAGGTCAATCACTTCTCTGCCAATAATAGTCCACAGATGATCCAAGCCTTATTACTGTTGAGTGGAGTAATTTTCATATTTGGTGATGCTTTGGTGTCCTCTAAGCCTCGATGTTTTGTCGCGAAGCTTCTTGTCACAAAGTACCGTAAACTCTCCTACTGGAGAGAAGATTGCACAAAAGGCGGACGAGAAAAACTGTACTTCTAGTGATCTCTGATTCACATAAGAAACTAAACATGAAGTTAGGCTCACCAGCAGGTATTTTCAGCGCAATGAAAGTTGTCTGAATTGCGTCAAGAATAGTAGCCGACATTCATTGTATATACTGATACTCTTTATGCAGGAACGATGTGCAGTCCCGAAAAAGTGTAAAACGTGTCCGAAAATGAAGTTCAGCCCGTGAAAATCGTATGATATACATCATTATGGTAACTAAGGTATATCGCCAGGATCATTACGAATTTTGGGCACTACACAGAGTCTACATTAATTCCGAAATTCCCAAAGTCTAGGAAGTCCTCCTAAATCACCCAAAGTTTGTAAAGTGTGGTACTGCACCCCAATGTTCTTGAACATTCAATATACCAAATTACCTTAAGTCATACTTCGAAACATTATCATGTGTAACATCCACGCGTCGTTGTAGAATGTGTTTGCGTACTGGTAAACCCTTTAAATACAAAGTGTAACCGAAATATTTCACAAATTTCCAGAGTGCGTGCTAAGTAAATACTAGCTGGCAAATCATCGGGGCAGATATGAAGCTGTGGATAGTAGCCACTGAAATAATAACTAAGGTCAAAGGTGAGAAAAGGAGAGAGACGTTGGACTGTAAACTGCTAAAACTGTAGCAACCAGCAGTGGAAGAATTGAAAGATAAATGAGTAGTGAATTTTTCAGAAACTCCACTATTCTGCCAAGCAATAGGATACTTCAAACAGTGACTAAACTGCGTAGGATACGGTAAAGTATCAGAGAACAGAAATAAGCAGGCCATCATCATGCTGATCCTAAGCAACGAGTCTTTCTCATCATTCCAAAATCTTTTCATTTTTCAGCAACTTAAGTGTTTTGGTTAATGGCAATGAAAATGCTGTACCAAAATAATGGAATCAAAGCGAGCTTTTTGATTTACGAGACAATACCAATAAGGATATATTTTCGAATAAAGTTTTGCAAAATACATAGTCCATTGTAAAAAATTTCACCATGGTTTCCTATAGAAATCAAAATCAAGTCATATAGTGTCATCAGCTTGACGCTACAAATGGTATCAAGATTGTGAGTAATAAGGCAATACAAATACTGGCCGATATGAGTAATTCTAGACCACCTGCATGCATCAGCAGTCTCTGTTAGCCTAACCAAGGTTATATGTACACCGGAAATCCTGTTACTCAATCAGCCGTTTCGCACACGATTACCGGTAACTTACGGTATGATTATTTATTGAAGAAAAATTCTATTTCTTCAGAGTTTATCTGATAAACAACTAACTTAGCATTCTTTTTCTCAATTATATTCCTCCTAATTTTTTCAACTATGGTTTATTTCTTCGAAATCAACTAATGTATACCTTGAAGATCGAAGAGCTGAAGGTCGAAATAATAACAATGGACCATTCACCATACAGTTCATTATGAGTTCACCAGAAAGTGTACAAAAAGGTAGGTAAAAGTTACCAGTTGCTTCAATGGTTCCTTCATGATGCTTCTTTTTAAACGAGGCCAGTTTTTCCACTATTTAGTGTACCCTTCAAGTGACTTTAAAGGCCACGGTAGCAACCCCTGAAATAATCAATCAGACTTTGGAATTCCGGGCGAGGAAGTAACTTCTCATAAAATGGAGAGAAGTAACTGGTTATCTCAGCAGTTGCTAAGATGCTCTTTAAAGACAATCATACCTCAGTATGATAGTAATCAATAGAGGGATATGCAAGAGAAATGAAAGATGCTTTTACTGCCTGTTTTGAACTCCTCAGTCAAATCTGTCTATCTTTTTTAATAGAATTCAAAAATCAAAGTCAACGGTAAGGTTTCAGTCAGTGAATAAACTCCATTAAAGTGCAAGCACACATTTTCTTTAATGGTAAAAGAATACAACTTCATCCATCTACTGACCTTTAATCTAGTTTCCTGAAAAGTTATACGATGGCTAAAAAATTGAAATCAGAACCATACTAAGGAAATTTAAATGGTTTCTAATATTAAAACCTTTTATTTGATATCCCGAAAAATGAATATACGCAATAAATTCTGACAAATAATATTATATCATTGTGTACTATATCAAATTAATATAATATGGGCTAACACCCTACCACAGTGCTCATTGTGTATACCTACATTATTGGTTCAGCGTCTGAACCCAACAATCATGTGTTTTCCATTCTTATAAATAGGATGTACCAGGAAGCTCGTGGAAAACATACTAGTTCAGACATTCAAGCCTACGTTATTTCGTGTGACAGATATAAGTATTTCCACAAAGGTATTCCCATGTTAATGCTTATCTCGAGGCCGAGTCTAGGTAGGAATAACGCTGCCCACTGAAAAGTAGGTACATACCGCTGACTAGTCTCCAATCAGATAAAACGCACGTCCTGAATCACACTACTAGCCACTCTTCATTATTATTATTATTACTATTATTAGTATTATTTGTCCCCTTGGTTGCTAATGGAACATAGGGCTTCAGTAACACGTCTCCATTTCACTCTCTTCTCTGCAAACTTTTGAACCTCGCTCCACCACTGCCCACAACCTCTCATTTCTTCCTAACACAATCTCCTCCATATCACCCTCACCTCAAACACCCAACTCGTCGCTTCCCATTTGGGTTCCACTCGAGTACCTGACCTGGCAAGTGATGTCCACAGTCGGCCTTCTCAGTTTATGCCCAATCCATCTCCAATTCCTTCCAATGCATATTTGTTGAGTGACAGGTTCTTGGTTGGTTCGTTAACAGCGAGCCAGAGTTCCTCCTTGCTTATTCTTATTATTCTGGCCATCTGATCTTGAGTAAGGAGCCAGCGTAGACAGTTGTTGGTGAATATCTGTAGCCTGTTGGAAATGCCTTTTGTAACGCCCCAAGTCTCTGAACCATATAGGAGCACTGACTTGACTGGTGTTGGTGTTGAAAATCCGGATGTTGTTCACACTTTATGCTGGCTGAGTGCAGTGCGGAAGATCTGCACACTGATTTGAGGTTAATGAAGGCCTGTGTTGCTGTCTTTCCGATCGTGGCTGGCTTTGACATCCTCGTGTGTGCCTGTGCCACCTGCAGCTGAAACAGTGCTGCCTAGTCAGGTAGGTGAAAGAGGCTACTTCCTGTAAGTTTCTCCGGTTGATGGTGATTGGTGTCTCTTGTTGTTGTCATTGTTGATTGGATATCTTCATAACCTCTGTCTTCTCTACGTTCACCTGAAGGATGTCTTGTTTTCGCTGCCCTGCCTCTTCTGCCAACTTGTTAGTTTTCGCCTGTACATCTTCAAGTTTGTGTGACATTAGACATAAGTGATCGTTGGCGAAATCCAAATCTTCTAGGATGTTTTCCCTGGTCCAGAGTGTCCCCCTCTCCTGGCTCCTCACTATTTGTTGTATGATCCAGTCCACTACAATCAGGAATATGATGGGTAATAGTAGACAGCCTTGTTTTACTCCTGTCTTTACTTCACTTCCAAGGCATTGCTGAGCTTCCCATTGTGAATTACTTGGCATATGGCGTCTTCATCATTACTACAAAGGTATTCACAATTTTTTAAGTTCTGATTTTGAAAGGTATAGTAGATATAATATCTAGTTCTAATGCATAAATGCATCAGTGACTGAAGAATAACCAGTACTGTTTCACTTAAGCTTCTTTTCTGACTGTACAGCATAAATCAAATTAGTAAATAAATCACCAAAATGCATGGCTCAAAGTTGCGGATTCGAGTCCTGGAAGAAATATGATTTTCATGTAAGTCTGTAGACATCTCTCAGTGATTAGTATTAGAAAGCACAACGTATGAGTACACAGTTTTCTGTGAATTCTTCAAAACTATTAACTAACAAATATGTGTTGCATTACCATTTCAAGATATTTATCTTGTAAAGCAAGATATCTATTTGGATGTCACCAAGGTTTAAAACATTTTACTGGGTAATTATACTACATAATGCTTGACTCCTGTACACAGACAGACTTGAAAAAGTTTTTTTAGACAAGTGGAACCACTTGTTTTATTAGCAATTAAGTTGATTTATACATACTTGATTGCAGGATACTTCAGAAAGTTGCTCCTACCTTTCTGATTTTGTTAAAGTTAGTCACTTAAAGAGGTTAGATACCGCTAATCTTATGAAGCTATATTAGTGCTCTGGTCATCCAAAACTGTGTATGAAACTTGTTCATTTCCACTGAAGTAAATAACAATAATAATAAAAATTTCGACTTTATATCATATTAGGTTGGATAAATGACAATATATTGATCAGTTTTATGAATACAATGGAATGGATCTGCTCACGTTTAACAAATGTTATAAAAAAGAAGTAAGTAGTTTCAATAACACTTTTTGTAACTAGAAGTAATTAAACAAAACCATATAACTGAAGATTTTTTAGAATAGAAACTTTAAAAGAAAAGAAACGTTTAATATTTTGTTGTTATTACTTTCTCAGGATTGAATGGTTTAATCATAAGGCTTTGAATATCTCTCTCTAGACAACATTATCAGCACCAACTTAACAAATGAATTATTGTGCTCAGAGAAAGCAACAACATTATAATAATCCACATGAGCTATAAATATTCTATACTATTTCAAACACTTAAAATCTTTCCTTCATAAGACTTTCAACAATTTAGCAGTTCATTTTGCATATCAAAGTGTTAACATGAGTGTCTCTAAATAGTCGTAAAATATTTTTTTGATTTAACCTCTTTATTACTATTTGGACATTCAGAAGATAAACAATTCGAGTGAAAAAATACTTTTTTTTCCATTAGCCTGTCATCAGTGGCTGTACACCAGTGTATGAGAATTTTAAAATACCGAACAACATATCAGTCTAGTGACAGAAGGCTAGTTTGTAACCTGATATCAATCTCAAAAGCATCCATATGGCAAACAGTGGAAGTCAAGTCCGTAATATAATAATACCTTTAAACTTAGACTTGACTTTCCTTCTGATCTCAGACATGTTTTACGAGTTCGACTTCAATAAATAGCGGAAGCTATCGAATTTCAGTATGACTGCCTCTATAACTTATTTGTACTGCGATGATCTATACCCTTATTCATCTCACCGATGGCTACCAGTACTATTATTATTCCAGTTTATGCTATCTTGTTCTTTCCTCTGTTTTGATTTTAAATTTATCTTGTTGTTATTGTCAGTCATCCACCACTTGATAGAATCACTCATTTTCACTCTTCGTTGATCACGATTATACCAACTATCAACTAATTGACAATCTGTTCAAATTGATATTCATCATGGAGTGATATAATCTGGAGAATCATCAAGAACCTAGGAGCGCTGGACACCAGTTTTTCCACTCAGCAGTGCCCATATATGAGCCTATCACAGATAGTACAAAAGAAAATTCACGTTCCGCTGCCAGCACGTTACCACTGAGCCACTGAGTCAGAAGACAATGGTCCACATTTTCCCACTTCACTAACTCTGCTGACATCCGTTATGGTTCGCCCCACCGGTCACGACTTCTCAGTAGAACTTCGAGAATCTCATCTTGGTAGTGATAAAAAGACACAGCATTTCAATTTGGAAACCCACACAAGGGAGAAAGAACTGTCCAGTACTCCAAGGTATTCAATGGTTCTCCAATTGATGTCATTTCTTGATGAATACCAACCTGAAGTTAATAAATAAATCCCCACAAACCTCCTAACTGAATCTGTCCAAAGTTCACAAACTAAACTTGTAATTAACTGTTTTAATTAATTGCCTTCGTAATTTCATTGAATCTGTGAGACTAACAGTCTGTTGCAAACCAGTTATCCATCACTAAATTGATATGTTGTTTTTATTCTGAAAATCTTATATATTAATGCAGTGTGGTTGATGAGGAGTTAGTTGAAAAGAAATATTTCCTTGCTTAAACTGTGTGTTTTCTAAGTATCGAAATGAGAATATAGGGTTTTACTAAAAAGAATTCTGTTCTAATGTCTTAACACCAATTAACACCTCTCAGCTGTTTTAGGTGGGCATTTGTATGAAAAATACAGGGTTAAAGGTTAGGGAAAGGAATATCAGTCAAACGAAAAGACTATACTGAAGGTGGGAATAACGATAAAGATCAGTAAACCAACAAAAACGAATTAACGGTGTAATAATCTTGGGTTCAAAGCCGAACTCACCAAGGAAGGTTTAATGTGATGGTAAAAATCTTTATGAAGACATAAAGATGACTTAAACCTCAACAAACTTTAAAGTACGTTCCCAACAAGTTTTATAGGTGGCCTTAAATGATGTATATACATCAATTTCATGGCATATTTCAATAATATGTTTAGCTGTACAGGAGCTCAGACTTTTGCTTCCAACATCATTTGCACCGGTGACTCAATTTGTTTATAAAAACACTTTGGGTTATGACTTATTGTCCTTATTTTCAATGACCAATGAGTCTCGCCTCTATGTATGCCACCACATGTACATTTAAATTAGTAAATACAGCTGGATATGACTTCATACTTTACCTGCTGCAAGGAATTTGATAAGTGTATACGCTTAGAATTTTCAATTATCCCAACCTTATCTGCATATGTCTTGTTGATAGCAGTCTTAAATCTCTATTTGGCCGTCAACCAGTTAACATCACCAGAGTAATTTAGTTTCAAGAATACATCTTTTTTGTTGTATTGTGCTCTCTGAGCACAATACTGAGCACTAACTTCAGTATGAAGTGAGCTGTCAATATCTCCCCGTGAGTGACTTAGTAGCTTGTCTTGACCAAGTGGTCTGTGATTGGTTGTTTCGTTTGATTGTTGTATCATTAACTATAGATTTTCCTGTTGGCTGTTCCTCTGCTTCACCTCTTATTGGTTGATAAATTGGGTTAGTGTCTATATATCTGTTGGTTGCTGACTGGCCTGAATGCCATGCTTCTAGGAATTCTCTGATATATTTTGTGTTTCTTCTGTCTAGAATTTTACATTGTCAAAATTGAATTCATGTCCATAATTATCTGCATGCATTGAAACGAGTGATGAAATGTCGTGAAGTTTAGTGGCCAGTTGGTGTGCATGTAGACGAAGGTGAAGGTAGGCGGCCACCTTGTCCAATGTAGTGTTGACTACAGTCATTGCAGTTGATTTTGTAGATGATATTCACTTTGTCTTTTTTGGTTGTTGCATTATTTGGTCTGCATAATAGTGTTTGGAGGGAATTTGTTGGTTTATGAGTGGCCACATCAATTCCAAGTGGTTTCAGTGATCTTGTCGTGACTTCTGATATATTCTTCATGCATGGTAAGATGATGCGTTTGTTGATTTCTGTCGATGACTTTGTAGTTGATGATGTACGGGATAGGCATCTTCTGATAAAGTTTCGTGGGTAGCCGTTCTTCTTTAGGGTGGACATCAAGTAATTTTCTTCAATTCTCTATGATGTTGTTGTACTGCAGTGTGTTCTCGCTCTTCTGAACAGAGTCTGTATGCAACTGATCTTGTGTGTCGTTGGGTTGTTGCTACTGTAGTTGAGGATTTGATCAGTGTGTGTTGGCTTCCTGGGTTGGGTTTCCAGCTTTCCGGCCCTTGTTCTACTAACTAGAACATCCAGGAATGGTAGTTAGTTGTTTGACTCCTTCTCCATTGTGAATTTGATGTCACTCAAATGCTTGTTGATTAAACTGTGGGTGTTTTCTATATCACCGCTTTTTTTAATGATGACAAAAGTGTCATCCATATAGTGAATCCAAATTTTTGGTTTGATCACAGGTAGGATGATGGCTTCCAGTCTCTGCATCACTGCTTCTGCAATTAGTCCGGATATCAGTGATTACATTGGAGTTCCTTTCATCTGTTTGTATATCTTGCTGTTGAATTGAAAGTATGTTGTCAGACAGAGGTCGATGAGTTCCATCAGACTTGAACATTTAAGTTTTGCTAAGATCAGTTAGAAAGTGTTCAAAGTATTTCTGGTTGCACTCCAGTGACCAATCAATGCATATAGTATAGTCATACGGGAGGTTAGTGGTTAGTGTTATTTTATCAAGATTAATTTCTGTTACCATTTCTTGATAGTAAGAAATATTATGGTAATCCACAAATCTGTAGGAAATTCACCAGTGAAAAGTACTTATCGTCTGAATCACAGCCTTTATTGAGCCAGATTGTCTCAGTTTGATTGAAAATAGCATTTTTTTGGACAGCATTTTATTCTATAGAAAAAGTGAAAATTTCTAGCAATTTAAAGACTTTGATAGCAAGCCAACAGGGATTCTTTCGAGACAGTTATTTATACTAGTATTTAGTGAGAAGCTGTAAGTCAAATACGTGTTCATGTAAACCTGTTACAACGGGATACCGATAAGAATGCTTTTTTGATCAAGTAGTTTCAGAACAAAGATCTTAATGACACCCCTATATCAAAACTTTAAGGATTCATACGTACACTTATCTACAAGACTGCTGCTGAGAATTAGAATAGGTATGTGAGAACATTTAATAAACGTGTCATTAATGACAGAGATGGTACTCAAATTTGATGGAAATAATACTTTGCGAAAGTGCAGTGTCTATTCTCTTTAATATAAAATGCATGATATGACATTAATCATTTGAAACAACACGGCTTCTTAACGGATTTTCCATGATTCAATTAAAACAAACTTTAGTTAGAACTTCAAGTTGCAATTTTAGATTTACTGAATTCATACACCGAACTCTAACAATGAAGATTCGTTGGTGGTCTTGGAGAGTTGGTCTGAAGAATAACTGAAAAACACGGTGCATTGGTAAGCCACTACCTTAAACGAACCAATATTGGTTGATCTACGATAGTATGACCTATTTTTACTGACAGTTGTAGTATATTCTTAGGCAACTAGTTTCGACTACAAAACCTGGAGAATTCCACGTCCAGAGCAGAATACCAACGAAGTTGTTTTTATACTTGTAACATTGCGTTGATATATAGGGCCGAACTGCTGGAACTTTACTAGCAGTTGGGCACCTATGTGAAAGCCTCTACAGGAGCAATTCAGCCATTGAATAAGAGGTGGCTTTTGTGTCTCGATAGCTTAGTGGATAACGCTCTGGAGTTTGAAGCGATGAGTACTTGGTTCCAGCTTCGGTGCTGGGGTGCAGACACATGCAGCTGACGAGTCCCAAATAGGGCGAAACGCATGTCCTGGATCCCTCTGCTAGTCATCAAGATCAATATAACACCAACTAAGTTATTATTCATTACTCATTAACATTCGTTATTTATTAACATCCTGAAAACTAAGGATTCTTCCTGAATTCAGTCTTTGGTAAGGAATGGTTAGCAAGTTCTTTTTTAATTTGAAACTGTTATAAGAAAGCCATTTAGGTCTTCAACGATTTCGAGGGTTTCATAGAGAATACCTATTCAAGATTCAAAGTCTTATCATTTACACAGATGCATCCCTTTTTATGCAGCTTAAACTCTTATGCAGAATTAATAAGCACTGAGTTCCCAGAGGAACGTAGGACCAGTTCAAATGTTTTCTCAGTAGATGTTGTAAAAGGTTATAGAATGCAAAGAAGCTTAGGAAGGTTGTTCTGGTTGTTATTTGGTCTTCATCATTACACGCGTATACTCAGAGAGTCCCACGTGACTTACGTATTTGCTGGAGCAAAATATTTTTATAGGACGATGCTAGACTTAATCCAGTATATCACTGCACACAACCACTGTTACAGATTTGTTAAAATCTACCTTCATTTTCGCTTAGTTTTCTCTTTTTTACTTTAGTGAAGTTGCTTATAACTACGAGAAATTACAATTTGTCCGTTACTGCCAACCACAGTATATTACTTATTCAAGCTTATCAGATGTGAAAAGTTTGAAAAGTCTGCAAGGGGTTTCACAAAGTTTACTTAAAATGCGTTTTTGCAAGAATACTGATGAACACGAAGCTGATGATGATAATAAATGTGCTAACATTGACGTTACTACTGATAAACAGGTGTCAGTAGGCAAAAGAACTGTGGATAATAAAATCAACCTCATGTTCAAAGTTGGTTTTCAGAGAGTCAAAGAAGTCAGAATACCGGCTATGAAATTGTATCAAATAACATCAGCCACATCAGTGCCAAGTTCAACTTCTGTACAGTTTTACAAAAGTATCCTAATGGAAAAGTTTGAACGAGATATAATGGACAATATCACAGTGTTAACAACTGCCAATCTAAGCCTCATCAAACAGATGGAAACGATTTCCACTAATATGGCATCATTAATAGAAGATAAGAGTCAGATGACGCGGAAAACTGCAGCCACGTTAAGGTTATGTTTAGAGAAGTTGGCAGCAGTTTTACAGTCACAAAAGAAATCAACCAAATATAATCAAAATACCAAAATGGAACAATCATATTCATGGTTTTCCTACTCTGCAGACGGAACACTGACAGTCAGGTGAGTAGAGTTAATTCACTGATTTGAACCTATTATTCGGTTTTGAGGAGGGATAATGAACACTGTTAGGAAAATTTACGTGTACAATGTAACTAGCTGTAAAATTTCTTACTGTGGAGAAGTGGCGCATTTGTTTAAGTTGTTGACTTTCATCAAGTGGATCATGAGTTCGAACATTGCCCCACCTACTGAGATTTGGTCAGTCAGGAAGTATCACTTACCCTCATTTAATAGGTGTAGCTCATCGTCTACTGCAAGAACTTGGACTTGGTTGGTGAGTGCATTTTTATTCTTTTCGAGGTTCCGTATTGTTATCTTGACCTGTGATAGTGAATAAGAATTGCGTATCTACAGTCTACTAGATAACAAGAACTGCGAACTTGCCATAGTTTAAGATGCCAGATCAATACTATTGTCAAAAGCAAAACCATATTTTTCTACGCAAATCCTTTCCAGTTATTGGGGAGATTTCCAGTAGGATATGTCTTATACGGTAATATACATCTCTATCATATTTTGACGACATCTACCTACCTAGATGAAATGCCACTGCTTATTTTAAATCTATAAGATACCATCAGTCAGCGTCACAAGCTGATTACATTTGTACCTTCTCTTTCTATTTCAACAAAACGATGTGAAAAAAAGGTAAAAATGAATTTCAGAAAGTATCTAAATCAAACCAACATTTTGAAGTGACTGCAACCTCATTCCTCTTTTTAATAAATGCCATGGAGGACTTAGTTGTTTCGCGGTGAGGTGAATTTGGTACACAAATACCAACTATTTTCTATATTGAAATAAACTAAATGCAGCAGCTAACTGAATACATACAATGGCTTATACTAGTTTTGGTCACCTGAGTCAACCCCGTCAGTAATTTTGCCACAATCTTGTCTGGTTGGGATTCTGTGGTTCACGTGTTTGTGCTTATTCAATCTCACGCTGAAATTGGACGTGATCGGCCTCAAAAATGCTTCCCAGACTCGTAAACTCATTCCACCTAAACGATGAACAACGCAATTCGGCACTCCACTATTATCTCTCACAACATAACACAAATTCTGGTACTTAATGTTTGCATATTGCAGGCGAACTGATTCATCTGTATGTAAAACTAAATTGAATTGCTTAATCACAACTCACCATAATTTATAAGAATGAAACAACTAATTTCGAGAGCAAAATATGGGATAATGCACAGCATAAGGTTTCATTCAACATGCAGTTATTCTGGAAATCCGAGTCATACAGAAACAAGTAAAGGATCAATCGAAAGCTCTAGAACTAAGCTATACAATAATGTCACTAATCAAGCCATAAGTGAAATGAATTTTGATATTAATAAGATTACGCAACCAACGATACTTATCTGAGATTCATGTTTTCCGCTTATCGGCTAATATAACATATGCCATCAAGGATAGATTTTTAATGTTCAGTGCTAAAGTGGCTCATTTGATACAGGTTAATCAATCACTAATTACATTTTGTTCTGGTATCAAACCAGCAAAACTTTATATGGCCACAAAAACCATTGGAGAATTTTGATTAATTAGAAGAAAGTGATTAGAAACTCATACTTCTTCATTTCAGCATTAGGTCATATATTAAACTAATCATCAAGTGTTTACATCAATACTCCTGGTTGCCACAAATAATAAATGTGTATACCAACTGCTCCCCTTTCACCTATCTAGGCAGCTTTGTTTTAACTGCAGGCGGCACAGGCACAGACGAGCACGTCAAAGCCAGCCACGATCGGAAAGACAGCAACACAGGCCTTCATCAACCTGAAACCAGTGTGGAGATCTACTACACTCAGCATAAAGAACAAGATCCGGATTTTCAACAGCAACACCAGTCAAGTCAGTGCTCCTATATGGTTCAGAGACTTGAGGCGTTGCAAAAGGCATTTCCAACAGGCTACAGATATTCACCAACAACTGTCTACTCTGGCTCCTTACTCAAGATCAGATGGCCAGAATGATAGGAATAAGCAAGGAGGAACTCTGGCTGGCTGACAACGAACCAACCAAAAACCTGTTGCTGAACAAATATGCATAGGAAGGAAGTATAGATGGATTGAGCATACACTGAGAAGGCCGACTGTGGACATCACTTGCCAGGCCAGGTACTCTAGTGGAACCCAAATGGGAAGTGACGAGTTGGGTGTTTGAGGTGAGGGTGATATGGAGGAGATTGTGTTAGGAAGAAATGAGAGGTTGTGGGCAGTAGTGGAGCCAGGTTCAAAAGATTTTCGAGAAGAGAGTTCACTGGAGACGCGCTACTGAAGCTATATGTTTGATTAGGAACCAATGGGACAAATAATAAATAATAAAATACCAACTATTCACCAAACGGTTTAATCACAAAGTTTTGAAAATATCCCTAAGCAAGAGGACACAATGTGATAATTTAAATGAGTTACTTATATAAATATAACATTGTGTCCATTTTCGTGTTTGATGACAGCACTAACCAGCTCATCACTTGTTCTAAAATTATCTTTCAATCATGTAATGTCCTATTTTATCTTGATAAAATATGTGCAATGTTCTGACCGTTCTTTCTGTACTATAATATAAGACTTTATTAAACAATTTGATGAGCTACCAATGACAATTTATGACGTCTGATAATATGCACGAAACAAACATTGATTTAACAATCATATTAACTTCTTATGATAAGTATTTACACCACTTCTCCAGTGGTTTTCACGGAAGTTGATTAGTAATTCAGGAATAAAGTACGAGTTATGAAAAAGCAACATTAGCACACTATACTTTTCAATGAAATGATTTTATATATTTGAATGAAATGGCTTTTTGACTCCGTTAAGTAGTAGTATAGTTACCTCCAGTTACTGTACATACAACCGTCTTCTGTAGTTACAGTTCCATGAAATCTTTCATTGAAATATTTTCTAAACTGAACTGAACAGATGATAGTAGAGCTGTGGTTCAATGGTGTAGGGAGATGAGTCCGAACCCCACTCCACTAATCAAAGTTTGTGCAGCCACATAGTATCATTAACCCTCGCACATTAGATGTGGCTCATTGCCTACTACATGGATGTCCACAAGGTGGTCTAGTGCGTCTCTCTCTCCCTCGATACAGTGGAAACCAGTGAGAACGCAGCTAAGTTGCTCTAAACCTAAACAGTAACAACGACGTACTGAGGAGAATGGAATCTACTACAAGAAATGTAAGCGTTCAACTATAAACTTTATTTTTGCATCAAATGTTCTATGGATGTAAATTACGCATAAGAATGCTTATTCAGTAAGTGGGATACTCAATGTTCGTTTGGGGATCTAACTGAAAAGGCAATGAGATTAGAGATATATTTAACTCATCTGTACACCAAACTCGATGTCAGGTCGTAGCATCAACGGATTTTAGGCTGACAGCTACAGACTGGAATAGAATCCAGTCGACAGAAAGTTTTATAAATCATGCACAAAACTTAATCGTGGTTAAGAACTAGAAATCATGAGTGACAATTTTATGTAAGTTACACTTGTTGCTTGAAAGTAGTCTGTGCGACCTTTATTCAGTGGGTGATAGGTCAAAACACACAAAAATTCCATGAATTAAATTATAAATGTCCTTGTTTGAAGTATCAGGTAAAAAGATAAGGAATTCCAATATCACACGTAAGTAGTTTTGGTGTCAAGTGGTTGGAGGCAATCGGCGAGAGAGCCCTGCTGTATCTGGGTCTCATGTTTGTTGACACTCGTCAGCAAGGCATATCTTCAACGCAAGGGAACTGATGTCTCTGGAGGGGTTCGTACCCACGTCACTCAGTGTTACAGTTAGCAACGCAACCACTGAGCAGTTCGGGCCTTGATTGATCGCCTACATGACTGGATCAGGTACACTGGTTGGTCACTGGAGGGCAACCACTTTCATATTGGCTAGTTTTGAATACTAATAGATTTCTATCAACTATTTTGCAATGTGGCCACCAAGCTAGGAGGTCGACTACTACAATGCAGTGGGACGAATGTAGTTGGATGAAGGAAGTCAGAAGAAAGCCCTGTTCTGCTCAGATTTCGTACTTGTTGGCTTTCGTCAACAAGGTGTGCCTGCAACTTGCCGACTGCCTGTATCCAACTTACATCTATCAAAGGGAGCCTTATAGCTCGGTGGTCACACCGCAAATTGATAAGCTAAGTTCATTCAGCACTCAGGACTAGATAAGAGAAAAATGGTTACTGGATTCAAGTCCCAGTGGGAACAATATCACTCACTGGAGTGCAGGTACATTTAACTGACGAGTCCCAGGTGGGACGAAATGCATGACCTAGATTCCACTGCTAGCTACCAAATAGGCTGCAGTTTAATCAGTACCAGGCAGTATCAAGACTTTTGCATAGTAGCCCATCATTCAGCAGAAATCGAGTAGTTTGACGCAGTATAACAACGGGAAACTACTATTGTCAATAAACCACATGGTTACTTTTCATTAACCAGCTAGTGAATAAATAAACAGCCACTTCTGAAAAATGTTTATCGATCTATTGTTTTTATTTACTTATAAGTTGTATAAGTCTAATGTTATTCTCATTAGCTTACTTACTTTTGTCCTATTGATACAGATATCCATGTGGTTCACCTGCTATTATATGGTCTTCGAGTCCTTTGGTCTATCATAGATCATGCTCAAATATCAACAGTTGTGATCCGTCATCACTGATTAAAGGAAAAGGAGTTAAGGTGAAAAAATCCAAAGAAAAAGCTTCTACTACACCAACACTGTTACAAAGAGCAAATACAAATGTCACTATCCCTAAAAGTAGCAGTAGTACTGCATATTCACTGGAAAATCTAAATGTTACTTCCAAATCTGAGGATGTTAAACGTCGTACAGGATTTTATTTAACCATTTTTGATAGACCTTCTGTCTCATTATCAAAGGAGTCAGCTACAAATCTGAATAGACATGATGATAAGTTTAACTCACAACCTACTGCATCTTTGAGTACAGATCATGAAATGCTGACAATCTCCGAAAAGGAGAATCATTTGAACATAGATCTTCTACATAGATCTAAAAATACTACAAGAATGACTAATTCTGTTCGAGAGTATATATCCAGTAGTTGTAGTATGAATAGTGGTACTAATCAATCTGATTTACACACTGAACATAGTAAATCAGATGAAAGCCTACAAAACGAAGATGTACACATCAGAAAGTTCATTATTGGTCCACTAATTGCACACTTTACACCATCTGGTGAAGGTGTAATCTATTATCCAAATAATACACATAAAAATAACACACTAAAAAAAGTGACAATGATAACACCAACAGTAACAACAACACTGAAGAACGACAATGGAATGAAACGTTTACCAACAAATATTCATGCAATATTCACAAAAGATTACTGTTATATATTCAATAATTCTAGTGGTGACTTACAATATCAATTTCCTCGTTCTTCAGTAAAAAGTCGACATGATCCGACAATACGATTTCCAATTTCATTAGATATAAATTTTAATCAGTATATTAAATTGATTTATACTAATTGTACTGATTTAACAGTAATATTTAAGACTGAAAAAGGTATACTACTGAATATTGACTGTTTTGAAAATTTTTACACCAGTGATTATAATGATATGCTATCAACTACTGAAGATGAATCAAATCAGTGTCAACAGGTGAATGATATACAATGTCTTGAAATATCTTTGTATAATGAAAATTTCATTGATTTTTCAGTATCATTTAGTGTGATTGAAAAATAACACGACACATTATCGATGTTCGTATACAAGATGTATAAGATGTCTAAACAGGCTAATCACTTTGTTCCAGAAATCTTAGTATTGAATAAAAACATACAGTCATTGAAATAGAGACAGCTGTTTCAACTGAGGTATATTATTGTTGTTTAAAGCATGTTTCTTGAACCAAGAAAACGTAATCATTACATTGTACTTGCTTTGAAACATCATATCTGTAAGTATAATGTTGTTTGTATTATCCTATCGTTTATTGGACCGAATTAATCGGTCTCTATTGACATTTCAACTTCCATGCGAATGTCTTGATTATGTCAAATCTGATAATGATGATGGATAATGGCTAACAATGGAATCCAGCTTGGGGTGCGTTTCGTTATATTTGGGACTTGTCAGCTGGATGTACTTGCTTTACATTACAAGGCAATATTCTTGCCTTGTTAGGCAACATCTTTGAGGAGCTGATAACTCGTATAAAATAGCCGTCTCTTGTTCGAGACAAAAAATGACATAATTCATTATCATAGCTAACTTTTGACATCTTACACGACATATTTCAGTCACCGAGTTCGAAGTGAATTATCGATGCTTACCAATCTCAACTGTTGTTAGCTTATAGTGATAACTTATCTTGGACACCTAGGAAATAACTTATCAAGGACACTAGGATGAGGACGTGACTATAAATAAATTCGATTATAGACGAATTTCCGTGTGTTTCTCATGAAACAGATTGTAAACTAGAATGGGAAACTTTTTCAAGCAATTCATGGGTAGTGGAGACCTTTCAGCATACTACAGCTCATAATAAAAGTTATTACTAAAAGGTGATGAGTCTCATGGTGTATATTAACATCTCTAACAGCCTAGTTAGTTGTAGCACAAGCATATTTCTCTTCAGAAGACCATTCAACCTACCAGAAAAGTTGTGAGTAGTAACACAAAAGCACAATGAACTCACTAAGCACAATGCTACTGCATAAAACAAACAGTTAAATCCACCTTCAGGTTGATATTGATAATGAATTGTGGATAGCAGTAGAAATTCAGCATGAGCATTCCTTTCTAATACGGACTCATCAGTTGGACGTACTCACCTTCCAATGAGTGATGTTTTTCCTAATAAAACTTGATAGCCACCCCTTGTATTACGGATATAAAATAGTCATTGATATTATATCTTGTAAGTCACTAGTGATGATTGGACGGAAGTGATCAGACACTATTTACATGTATGGGGTCCTGTACGGATGCCTCGATATTGCTGGTATTTTCCAAATTGAGGACTGGAATCCAGGATATTTGTGTAGTCCACCATCATGTCTAGTATGTACTCAGATGAATTGAGTTCGCAGATATAAATTAGTCCTCAACTTTATATTCTTACTTTACTGATTACTATGGTAGAGAGATAATAATTAATCAGCTTCCTTCTTTTTCTTTCAATTTCTGAATAATTATTTTCTCAAGCAGCAGTATGCACTATCCAAACTACCATTTTTGAGTTCCATTGTTGATATCACAAGCCAAAATAAACAGTTAATAACAAGCAGAAAAAGGAAAGAAGTAAGTAATCAATGAGTAGAAAGATGAGTACGTAACTAGATATTGTGTTTATATTGTTCTTGGTGACTAGCAGAGGAACCTGAGATGTGCTTTTCCTCCTGTTTGTGACTCATCAGCTGAATGTACTTGCATTCCAGTAAATAATGTCGTTCCCACCAACGCTCGAACCCAGTGTCCTTCGCTTCAAACACCAGAGTGTTATGTATTAAGCCACTGTAGCATAATAGCTCCCTCTTGTGCAGTGAGTGTCAGTTGTTAAAACTGACTTCTTTTTCAAAACAGTATTATGAACACTATAAATAGATTCCTTGAAAAGTTAAGTGGAAATTGTTTAAAATAAAAATAGATAACAGTCTGTAATTGAAGTGCATATACAGCGAAAAAGTTTTTGTTCGGACCATTTCATTTAGTAAAGTAGTACAATGATACTTGAAATCAATGGACACATGGTTACCATAATATTCAAGAGTAGAGTAGTAAGGTAGAAGAAAAGTACTACTCCTGCCACAGTGAGGCTAATAAGTGCATGTAACGTTTTTCAACAACTTCATTATAAGGGCATATAACTGTATTAATATTTATTAAAAATTAAGTTCGAAACTAATGATAGATAGCAAATAGCAATGAAATTTGGGAAGTATGTTTCATTCTATTTGATACTTAGCAGATGAATGCACCAACCTGCCACTAGGTAGTCTTGTTTTCACTGAACCTCGAACCCAGCACCCATTGCATCGAAAGTCAGGGTATAATCCGCCAGGTTGATGTGTCACCATAGCCACTCATTATGAAATATAGACTGTTTGATGACAAAGCTTGTAGATGCCTACCGCTGAATGTACTGAAGTGATAAAGCATTAGGAGGCTGATACATCAAGCTGATGAGTTCCAAAAAAAGGCTAAACACGCGTTCAGGATTACACGACTGTTGAATATCCATAGTTATTATAAACTCACCGATAACTGGGAAAATCAACGTGGAACCTCGCATACAGGTGCATTGGCTCAACAACTATACGACGACGCCATATGTCAAGTGATTCAAAATGGAAAGCTCAGTGACACCTTCGAAGTGAAGACATGAGTAAGACAAGATAGTTGCCTACTATCACCTCTAATCTCCCTGATTGTATTCGACTAGACTGCATCATGCAGCAAACCGTTTGGGGTGAGAGGATGGGCATCCACTGGCTGGACCGATGAAAAGACCATAGATAATTTGGATTTCCCCAATCATTTACATCTAATGTCTTGTCGCATTAACTCGAAGATCCATAGGCAAAAACTAACAAGTTGAAAGAAGAGGTGAGGCAGCGAAAACCGGAGTTCAAGTCAATGTAGGGAAAATGGAGGTGATGAAGATATTCAACCAACAACAGCATCAACGACAAGAGGCACCAATCACCATGAACGAGAGAAACCGAGAGGAGGTAGTCTCTTTCACCTACCCACCTACCTAGGCAAGGCAGCATCGATTCAAACACAGGCAGCAAAGGCAGAGACGAGGATGTCGAGACCAGGATCGGAAAGACAGCAAGACAGTCTTTCACTAATCTGAGATGGGTGTGGAGATCTACTTCACTCAGCATAAAGTGTGAACAAGATCCTGATTTTCAACACCAACAGCAATGTCGAGTCAGTGCTGCCATACGATTCAGAAACGTGGCGTGTCACGAAAAACATTTCTAACAAACTGCAGACATTCATCAACAGCTACCGCCTACGATCACTCGATACTGAAGATCAGATCAGATGGCTAGAAAGAATAAGCAACAACAAACTCTGACTGGCTGACAACGAACCAACCAAAAACCTATCGCCTAAAAATTATGCAGAAGAAAGTGGAGATGGATTGTGCATGCACTGATAAAACTATTCGGAGACATCACGCTCCAGTTCAGGCCATCGAGTGGAATCTAAGTGGGAAATGCCGAGTTGAGTATCGGAGGCGAGGGTGACATGGAGGAGATCATATGAAGAAGAAATGAAAGCCTCTGGTCCCTCGTGGAGCCATGTTGAAAAGACTGGAGAGAAGAGAGTGAAATAGAGACGTGCTACTGAGACCTCATATTCCACTACGAACCCAAGGGACAAAAATAATAATAATAACAATCTCCACCAACGTAAATTGACTGTACATAGTGTCAAGTCTGTAAAATTGTTTTGGAAGTTTGTCCAATTCAGTTATTTAAACAATAGAAAAGGAAGTATTAACAATTCTGTTTTAAAAAATGTCTCAATCACTGATAATCTGTAGCCGTTAATCTGATCTTAGTGCCTGAAATCATTTCGTATACTAATTAGCTTTACTATAGCCATGATAATTATTTTCTTCGGTATTTAAAAATAAACTTTTATTCCTCTGTTGAACATTTTAATGATCAGGTGACCCTATTGATAAATAACAAATAGACTGTTATTTGTTGTCAATACTGATAAGTACGACTGTTCAGCTTTATTAAATTAAATCATTGAAAAGAATATTTTCTTCACTGTTTTACATCTTTGTTCTATGACCTTATATATATATATATATATATATATATATATATATATATATATATATATATATGTAGAGAGAGAGAGAGATTCTCCTTTCATTATGAAATGAGTCCAGTTAGCTTAGCCTTGGACATTTGACATATCATTTTTATATGCTCAACTTTGGCTGTAAATTATAACTTATTAAATCTTCTAAAAAAATGTCTATTAAGTAAATCTGTAGACTTTCGGAGAGCTTAATTTATCTTTTATAGACAATACAAAATGAAGAATCCGATATTGAATGATCAGAATCTACAATATTCTGTGAAATAAACCACATGCTTCACATACTTTTATCTTTGTCCAGGTATACTGTAAGATGAACCTGAATAACTCGAGAGATAAACTTTAATGAACAGTTTACATATTTAACTTCAAAGGAGTAATTAAATAAGTCAATGCATATTGAAATGGTCAATCTTTGCATTTAAGGTACGATCATTATTTGTTATTCGACATCCAGTGCCTTCCAAAGTGATCGATATGAAGAGTTTCTCCTTCATTATCATCAATAGTATCATCCTTGAGTTATGAATTGCTGAATAATGTCTCCTTCCAAATTATACTGGTTCTTCTGAAATTTTTTCTTTCGTTTCATATTTTTCACAATGAAACATATTATGTAACCGTTTTCCTTTTAAATAGTGTTTTCATATAACTTATTTCATCGGCAATATAGGCTGAAGAATAAATTTTACAATATTACAGAAGTAAACCACACTCCTATTCTCCTTCTCTTTATTTAATTTCGCAGTTTAATATAGGTAACTCCCTTTATTGCCTTTTCGATTCATAAGTGAATTAGAATGCACTTAATACCCTGATTCTGGATATGATTAAGCCTGAATACAATGAATACTCTATTTCCGCCAATGAGTTCATTGAAGTGACCAAATGGATACTAATAAATACACGAAGGATTATAACACAATGAGACATTTGAATTGCATACGAATAGTGACTGTTCTAAAAACAAAGACTTGCCTTGACTACGAGAAAGACGCTTTATTTGTCAAATATGCATCATTTATGTGCAGTTTTCATGAACACTAGGTCAAAAGTCAAATAGTTTGATTTGATTGGACAACTGTAGAACAAAATTCTCCAATAAAGTTTTTCCTGACCACACAGTAAAATGAAACGAAACTTGGAATCGGAAACATCTACCTTAGCAGCTGGTGACTTATAATGTTCATTTCCATTTAGGCCTTTTTCTGTCAGTTTATGGTCAGTGGTTAAGCCATTTCTGCTTGCGTTAAGTGTCATGCTGATTGGTATGCTAGCATAGAAGCTCCGGAGATCAAAACTCTTCTTCTTGGGAAACTGATCACTTAGTTTGTCAAAATGATGTCTAACGGTTCCTCATCGATAGTTACCTCTTTTCAATAGGGTCGCTTTCTTTAATCAATTTTAGGATTCTTAATATGAGTGTTTCTAGAAGATTTAAAAGTCCCTATTCTCTGCTGTTTAATGTTTTCAACAGTCTACATCCCAGCTGTTCAATGATTTTGTAAGTACTAGCTTACTTCGTAAGAATCATGAGGAGTTCTTTTCTCATAGAGAGTCTGCTGAGCTGTTATTTGAACTTTTTCCGCTGAAATCGGAGTAATCAGGGGAAGAGTTCAAGAACTGGTTCATTAGTTTATCAACTGCACGAAATGCAAATGTATATGGTTCCTCAGTTTGTGGAATTTATGTAGGCTTGCTACCTAGTCTTCGAAAAGGAAGGTTGTAGGTAATAATAATGTTAGTGTAAAACTTAGCCTGTGTGATAGAATATTATTATTATTATTAGTCCCTTGGGTTCCTAGTGGAACATAGGGCTTCAGTAGCACGTCTCCAGTGACCTCTGTTCTCTGAGATCTTTTGAACCTGGTTCCACGACAGCCCACAAGCTCTCATTTCTTCCTCACACCATCTCCTTCATGTCACCCTCACCTCAAACACCCAACTCGTCGCTTCCCCTGGGGATTCCACTCGAGTACCTGGCCTGAAGCGTGATGTCCTCAGTCGGCCTTCTCAGTGCATGGCTAATCCATCTCCACTTCTTCCTGCATATTTGTTGGGTGATAGGTTGTTGGTTGGTTCGTTGCCAGAGCTCCTTGTTGCTTATTCTAACTATTCTGGCAATCCATCTGATCTTCAGTAGCGAGTGTAAGCAGTTGTTGATGAATGTCTGTAGTTTATTGGAAATCCTTTCGTAACGCGCCAAGTCTCCGAGCCATACATGAGCACTGACTTGACTGGTGTTGGTGTTGAAAACCCGGATCATATTCCGCAAGTTGAGTGCAGAAGATCTCCACATTAGTTTCAGGCTAATTAAGGCCTATCTTGCTTTTCCGATCCTGACTTTGACATCTTCGTCTGTCCCGCCTGTAGTTGCAACAGTGCTTCCTAGATAAGTGAAGGAGGTTACTTTCTTTAAGTTTCTCCCGTTGATGGTGATTGGAGTTTGT